GGCATATTGTGGGGCCATGCGGGTGCCCATAGCAGTGCCACTGGTCTGGATATGTATTGTCACCAAATTTGAAATAATTGTGCATGAGGATAAAGTCACAGAGCTCAGCAATCAGTTGTGCTGTGGCATCATTAGGGATACTGTTTCTGACAGTTTGTATTTCATCTGTGTGTGGGATGTTTGTATAGAGAGCCTCTACATCCATGATGGCTAGGATGGTGTTTTCTGGAAAATCACCAATGCATTGTAGTTTTCTCAGAAAATCAGTCGTGTCACGGTGATAGCTGGGAGTGCTGGTGGCAGAGGGTCTGAGTAGAGAGTCCGCATATCTGGACAGTCCTTCAGTGAGTGTGCCAAAGCCCGACAGTCCCTACATAAAAGGATAAATGGACACAAATCAGATATTAGGAATGGCAATATACAAAAACCTGTAGGAGAACACTTCAACCTCCCTGGACACACAATAGCAGATTTAAAGGTAGCCTCCTGCAGCAAAAAACTTCAGGACCAGACTTCAACGAGAAACTGCTGAGCTTCAGTTCATTTGCAAATTTGACAACATCCGCTCAGGATAAAACAGAGACTGTGAATGGCTAGCCAACTACAAAAGCAGTTTCTCCTTCCTTGGTCTTCACACCTCAACTGCTAGAAGAGGGCCTCATCCTCCCTGATTGAACTAACCTCATTATCCCTAGCCTGATTCTTGCTTGCATATTTATACCTGCCTCTGGAAAGTTCCACTACATGCATCTGACGAAGTGGATATTCACCCACGAAAGCTTATGCTCCAATAAGCCTGTTAGTCTATAAGGTGCCACAGGACTCTCTGCCACTTTTATTAAACTATGTTGTGGTTGTAAGAAAGATCCATAGTACATTAGAATTGTAAATGCTATCAAGTAAAGTAAATGCAAATAATTAACAAGAGTGTGCCTAAATGCAAGTTGGAGACCCCAGCAAACTAGCTGTAGGCTGCAACACTCAATGCTCTCAATGTGGTGTGATCTTATTTAAATTTTATTCAATGAGCCAGAATGACCCCAGATGCAGGGTTTCACAGGAAGGTATGGTCTCAAAGCAGAGTTGTACTTAATTTTGTTAGGGTAATGTACAGCATGGACACCATTTTCTTTTGAAAATGAACTTTTAAATTCTTAGTTCAACACCCATACGGACTGTAAACTGAATCAATCACATGGAATTATTAGAATGCATATCAGTGAGCTCAGTGCTTGAGTAGGAACATTTTCACCTACAGAAGTGACAGTTTATCAAGCAATAACTGTGTTCAGTAGTTTTCTCAGTTGTTAACCAATTTTCTCTGTATTATGTTAACAAGTAGAAACTGTCTCTTACCAGAACACTAGAATCTATTATTTTGGTGAAAATACTAAAGTAAGTATCAAATTGCTCCTGGCATTCATCAAAAATCAGTTGCAATGTGAATCTTATGTGAAGGAGCAAATGGTTTCGATAGAAGGGAGATCTGCAATGAATTTCACAATTCTCTTTAATAGTAGAGAACAGAGACGTGGAAGGTATGGATTCTAAATAAACATCTTGGGCTTTGTTTTTGCTAAAAACAGTTTAAACACTTCCTCTAGCTTTGTTGTTTCTAAGAATATGCATTTTTAATTAAAAGATAATGGAATGACTTCTTTTCTGACCTCAGTAATACAGACTAGATTGCATTTCCAGTGATAGGTTTGTAAGTTACTTGCCCATACTGTAAGAATTAAGCAATGACCTATATTAGGTCATGTTAGAATTTAAAATCATCATGATAGAAAGGTGGATAAAACATGATGAATTACTTCTGTGAAAGAGATTTTCCTTTCCCTCCTCAACTCCGTTTTCAATCTATTAATAGGTACTCTTAGGACATTTGAAACTACTGCAGTAATTAGAGATACTTGATACTCAATGAATTTGAGTATTAGTTTCCTGTCATCAGAAAATACAGTATGTCAAACAATCAAGTAAAATCAAATAAGAATGACTGATGGATTTAAATCTGGTTGCCAAAATGTTTATGCACATTTCTGACATAAAAACCAAGCAATCCACCATCACTGAGCTAATGCATGCAGCTGTCCTACTTTTTTTTCCTTCCACCCTCCTGTTACATGTAATAAGCTGGATATGCTTTAGTCTTGTACTGCAAAACCATTGAGTATCACCCATTTTGGGGCTGCCAGTAACACTAAGTGTCTACATCATTAATGGAATAGGACTGAGTCCTGTGTTTATTTAGTTCATATACTTTAAGCATATGAGATTTATAACCATTTTTAGCACAATATAAGATGTTGGAATTGTTGCACTGTTCAGTGGAATGCTTATCAAATGTTGCTTCCCTAGGGTTGCCTTTCAAGCAGATCTTTGTTTCCATTGATGCACACTTGAAAACATTTGTAAGATGCATAAATATGAATATGCTTTCCATTTTGCATAACTTTTTGGCTTGAAGCTGCAATTAACAGAACAGACCCACTTTTTACCTTCAATTTAAGTGGCAGTTTTCATATCGGGTAGATAGCAGTAAAAATGTATAATATTCCACTTCGCTTGTATTTCCATGTCTACATAATTTCAGAGCAAGTTTTCTTAAATTAAGGGTTCGAAAAAAAATCTCCAGTGGCATTTGAAATTACCTTTTCAGTGCCATACAGCCTGTCAGATTCGGATTTTATTTGCTATCTACTACTTTTATTTAATGATACTTTACCATTTCATTTTTGAGAGCCTTTTCCAAAAAGAGTCCGAGACAAAAAAGTCTTTTACTGTTGGAGGCAGGTGAAATATACTGTAGAAGCAGGGCTCAAAATTGGCTAGCACATGTTGGCACCATTTATCTTTACTGCTTCCACACTTATGACCTGCAAGAGAGCCTTGACAAAGTGGCAGGGAACATTGCTTGGGCTAGTTTCCACATCATGAGGAAATGTGCTGACTGGTGTTCTGTTTTCTCTGACTGTGTTTAGGCAGAGAGCATGAAAACTGTTAACCATTCTGTTCCCTCAGGCAGAGGGGTATGGCTGAGCCTAAGGACCCCAGTAATCTAAGGGCAGGGGGTAAGGTGGAAACTTGGCTTCTAACTGGATGTGGAAAGGGCCATATAGAAATTCCAGCTCCATTATCCAAGGAAGAAAGGATGGGGAGTATGTTATGGTTCAATGGGTAGGAGATAGCATATTGGACAGGGCAGTATGGTCCAGGGGTTAAGATGCAGGACAGTAATCTTAAGACTAGATTTTATATAGTCACCATGGAAATTGTCATGCACGATCTACCTATTCCAGATGAGACCTGTCTCTGAGGGTTTGTCTCTACTTACCAAGGGATTGATGCGTGGCGATCAATCCACTGGGGGTCGATTTAGTGAGTCTAGTGAAGACCCGCTAAATCAACTGCCGATCACTCTTCCATCAACTCTAGTACTCCCCCGGAATGAGAAGCATAACCCGTCAACCCAGCATGGTGTAAACACTGCAATAAGTCGACCTAAAGTATGTTGACTCCAGCTGCATTATTCCCGTAGCTGGAGTTGTATAACTTAAGTCAACTTAGTCCCATAGTGTAGACCTGCATTGTGTGTGTCAGTTACAAGTCAGGCCTAGTAGGGGGTACTCAAATCTTTATCTGAAGATTTTGGAAGCATTTCCTGTCAGTTTACTGTGGTCTCTCTTATGTTGCTGTTTCATCCTTTAAAACAAAAAATGTTTTACTATGTGGGCGAAATAATATTCGAAACTGAAAAAAGGGATCAAAGTTTGGTGTTCATGTGATTAAACACAGTGGAAATGTGCTGCTAACCAGTGTATATTCTGAGACAAATTCTGCCCTTTAACTGTGAGACTCTCTGAAATCAATAGGAATAGCATGTTTGTAAACCGATGGCACAATTGTGTCCTGTGGTGACGACTTAACTCATAACTATATCTTATGACTATAACTTGAAAGGTTATAGCATTCACTACTTTAAATGTATTGGCCCCGAAAGTGGGGTCGATTAACTGTGCTTGGGCAGGGACCTGAGGCAGTGAAGTGGGAGTAAAAGTAAAGGAGGCTTTATGCCACCTTTTTGAAGCTTCACAATTCTGAGGCTGGCCAACTGACCTCCAACATAAATTACAGTGGCCCTAAATTGTTCTAATTTATAATACACCTAGCTTCCTATGATTCCAAGGAACTGGCCTGACATTTAAGAATAGCCATAGCATAGAAATATTCTCTCCCAACAAACTGAGGGCTGGAATATGTAAGGCCAATATGCCAGCAGTACCTCTTGCCCTCCTCTGGTTCCCACCATACCAGGGCCACATCTACTGGCTTTACAGGCCTTTTGTATTAGTGGAGCAAAGTGAAAGGGCTGGAATAGACCCAAGAATGTGGTCCTTTGTGTGTACCAATAGTTTGCGTTTAAGAGCCCTATGGAGGTGTGCTGAGCACTTAAATCTCCCGTTGTGAGCAATGATTAGTTTAAAAAATTGCTGGACAGCTCTTGAGTTTACGGGGTTGGGAGGTGTTTTGTGTGTCCTGGGTGTTTTGTAAACTGCTCACTTTCAGTGAATCATCTTCCTTCCCTTTACCCTCTTGCTATGAAAAATCCATGGGAGTGAGAAATACAAGGCTGAAGAAGTGGTACAGTTTTACTGTTGTTGTGTGGCTGTTAGTCATTTAGTCGAGAAAGAAATGGTGTAGCTTTCTTGCTGAATTTTCAGGTCCAGCTAGACTTGATTTACTGCATGTGGAGTTCAATATGTGCCTTGTATTAGCCAAATACCTTGCAGACAAGAATGCCAGACTCAAAAAGCAGTGCTACAAAATATTTAATCTCCTTTACAGTTGTATTGTTGTACAATACCTGGTACAAAATTAAACTTGTTAGAAACCAATTTTATATTAACTTTCAGTTAAAAGGATGCCTCAATTCCTGAATTAGATCATAAATGCCTCTATGCTTTAATAATAAAAATCATTCCCTTCCTTTTCTACAGACATTTCCACTGGGCCTGGGAGATGGACAACTCTATACCTGGACAGATGGCTTGAAAAGAAAGGACTGGCATAACTATGAAAGTATTCAGAAAGATGCTATGCGTACAGGTATGGTGCTCAAAGTAAATGTAAATCTTTCACTCGTTTTTCCAGTGAGGCATTTTTCCATTAGAGTATTTGCAGATGCTAGCTTTCTGATGTTTGCTCACATTTCACTGCACTATCTCATCAGGACATGAGATTTCAAGTTGAGATTTTTTGGCCAACTAGAAATAATACCTTGACTGGCAGAATAGGTAGGTGAAAAGAAAAAAAGGTTTTACTAGCCCTTATATAGTAGTTGCATCTTTATCATGCTAGCTATAAGTGAAAATGATTTATTCTGTTCTTTTTTAAACCGCTCTTGAAGTCATAATTAAATAGACTAGGAGTCATGTTTTCAAAAAAAAAAAGAGAGAAAAAAAGATGCTTTACTTGAACTGTTCCAAAATCATTGTTGTTGGAAGGTCAGTTCTCACCCAGTATCAAGAACCTCAAGGTTATATTGGGCACAAAGGAATCCAAATAAGTTCTAAGCTACTAATATGTTAGTAACACTGACTCTACTTGTGGTCTTAGTCTGTCTCATTTATTCTGGCCTTCAGATCACAATGAGATCTAATAGTATGATAACCCTTGTTATTTGGCTTTATACCACAAATGGAGGAAAAATGTCAGTGGTATTCCTTGAAGTGCTCCTCCCTCCCACTCATAAACACAGGAATATGCTCCAATTTACCACTTTTTTGTTGCTTAATGTAATTTATAACTACCCTATATGAAAGGGGTTAAATTAAAAGGAGTACTAGAATCACAGAAATTTAGGGCTGGACAGGTCCTCGAAGTCATGTCCAGCTCCCTGTGACAAGGCAGGACCAAGTAAACCTAGTCCATCTCCAACAGGTGTTTTGTCCAACCTGTCCTTTAAAACTTCCAAAGGCAGGGATTGTACAGCCTCCCTTTGGAGGGCTATTCCAAAGCTTAATTACTCTTAGTGTTAGAAAGTTTTGTCCTAATAGCTTACCTAAATCTCTCTTGTTGCAGATTAAGCCATTACTACTTGCCCTACTTTCAGTGGACATGGAGTATGGTTGATCACCATTCTCTTTATAACAGCCCTTAACATATTTTGAAGGCTGTTATCAAGTCTCACCACTTTTCTCAAGTCTAAATATGCCCAGTTTTTTAACCTTTCCTCATAGGTCAGGTTTTTAAACCTTTTAAACATTGTTGTTGCTCTCCTCTGGACAATCTCCAATTGTTCACATCTTTCCTCAAGTCTGGTATGCAGGATTGGACACAGTACTCCATCTGAGGCCTCACCAGTGCCAAGTGGAATGGAATAATTACCTCCCATGTCTTACTTACAACATTCTTGTTAATACATCCCAGAATATTAGACTTTTTTTTTTTTTGGAACTACATCATGTTGTTGATTCGTGCAATTTGTGATCCTCTCTAACCCCAAGATACTTTTCAGCAGTAGTACTGCCTAGCCAGTTATTGCCCATCTTGTAGCTGTGCATTTGTTTTTTTCTTCCTAAGTATGTTACTTTGCACTTGTCTTTATTGAATTCATATTGTTGATTTCAGACCAATTCTCCAATTTGTCAAAGTTTTGAATTCTAATCCTGTCCTCCAAAGTGCTTGCAGTTCTTCCCAGTTTGGTGTCCTCTGCAAATTTTGAAATTTGATAAGCATTTTATCCAAGTCATCAGTGAAAATATTTAATAGTACCAGACCCAGGATTGACTCCTGTGGATCCCTATTAGATGCACCATCCCAGTTTGAAAGTGAACCATTGATAATTAACTACTCTGGGTATGGTCTGTCAACCAATTGTGCACCCACCTTATAGTAATTTTATCTAGGCAGCATTTCTCTAGTTGATTTATAAGAATGTCATGTGGGACTGTGACACAAACCTTATTAAAATCAAGATCTCTTCCACTGTTTCCCCTATATCCACTAGGTCAGTAACCCTGTCAAAAAGGTGAGGAGCAATAGTCAAATCCTGCCCTTATCAGAACAGTGGTTGAAAGTCCATATGCTGTGGCAGTTTGGCTTCTGTGAAATGAGTTTTGTTGTCTGAATTAAGTTGCCAATGTTCAGTGTCCACATCCCAGAAAGTACCGTTACAGCTTATTCTAATTGACAGTGTTGTTAGGCTCAGTAACTGATCTTGCAAGGTTCTGAGCACTCACTGCAATCCAGTAAAGCATTTAAATGTGCTTAATTTTATAATCTCACTGGCTTTTTTTTATCAAGTGCAACACCGCTTCTAAAAAAAATTATCCTCTAATCTCCCCATGTATGTCCTAAGTGAATAGGAGTGGAGCATGTAAAGTTGTTACAGGAAAATACGCAATTGACATACCAGGTTGGACAAGTGTTCACTCAGTATTCAATCTCTGACAGTGACAGAGTACCAGATGCTTCAAAGGAAGGTGCAAAAAAACAATGGAATTAAAAGTATTTTTATTTGTGTGTTTATTTTTTGTTGTTGGGGCTTTATCTTGCATGCATGCTTGCTGAGGAATGTGATATGTTTGCTAACTGAGGTGGAAATTTTTTTAACAAACCACTTGATATTTTGGCAGCATGTCACTGATCCGCTGTATTATGACTAATTAGATTATTACCAATTCCTATCCAAGGAATTGGAGTTCTAAACTGTCTGTAAAGAGCCATGCACAACTGTGGCATTGCATGAATACTAATAATCATCATAGTCTGTAGTATAATGTCAACTGAGAAATTAGGAGAGACTGTAATGTAATTGCAGCATCCAAGAGTCATCATCCTAATCTGCATGCTTAGCTCTAGGAGAATGTCAGTAGCAGTTAAATAAAATTCTAATATCTTTTCTTATTGTCAATAATAATTAATTAAAATATATTGATGTATTTATGGCTTTAGCTTCCTTGCCATAGCAATCACTACAAGATTCCTTAGACAGTCAACTTTGGCAGGCAATGTCTAAGCAGTATTCATTATTATTCATTAGATTAAAATTAACTTTTAATGAAATCTTTCCTTTGACAGTCACAATATAATAAAGCAGGTGCAAAGTTGGAGTGCAAGAGACTCTGAATGCACTCTGTTGGGACATACTGTATTATTTTTCTTCTGACTACCAGAAGAAAATTTATCTGAAATCTACTTCTGGTTAAAATTATCTAGGGAATAATCCTCTCAATCTGAAGACATTAAAATAGCAGCAATGAAAAGACTTCTCCTGAGATTTCAGAAATGTCAGTCACAGCTCACTACATTGAAAAATATAAATGAAGTCTTTTTAAAATTCAGCTTCACTGTTTATCTCTAAAGCTCACATTTTCCAAGGTACAGGGGATGTTAATTTCATAAATCTAATTATGGAGAGATGCTAGTCTAGCTGTGATTAAGGTTATTGTTACAAGTTTTGTTCTAAAGCCAAAGTTTGACCCTCTTCTAGTTTCACTGAAACAAAACCAATGTGCCTGTACTTATGCACTTGTGGTTCTCTATCCGGAAAGAAAACTGGGACAATTTTGAGGTTAAATAGACAAGCCATTTGCAAGACATGACAGATGTATATCAATTTATACAAAATATTCTAGCCCATCTTTTTAACATCATATCTTTTAAATGCCTTTGCATTTATTATGAAATTCAGAATTTGGTTTGTTTCCTCAACAGGACTGCCCCTCTGTGAGCTGCGGAGGTCCATTTGTGGTGTGCTCACAGTCTCAAGGTCTCATAACTATATTCCAAGGTCACATCTTGAGCAGGGATAATATCCAAGAAGGGTGTAGGTGTGGGATGGCTCTGAGCTGGAAGAAAGAGACAGGCCGTGATGAGGTCTTGATGTAGCAGAGGACTAAGGTGAGAGCTGGGCTATATCTACCCAGTCTAAGCCCAGATCTATAGACTTGTAAACATTGCAGCCTGGGCTGGAGGGTGGGGCTCTGAAGCCTATGTGGGGGGATGGGTTCCAGAGCCTTTACTGCAGCGCTGGCTGCAGTGTTTACACTGCTGCCTTTAACAGCAGCGCAAACCCAAGTCTGTAGACTTGTGATCTGAGACTCGCTGCCACAGGTTTTAAAATGCAGTATAGACATACCCTTAGTTGTGGGCTCCTGCAGAGATTGAGCCCCTCAGAAACTAACCTTTCTTCTTTGAGTGATTATCCACACAGATTCCACTCTTTGCATGCATGTGACCCATATGCAGCACGAGATCGGATTCTTTTGGCCAGCAGTGTCTATTGGGGATGGGCCTGCATTCTAGTTCCCCTTGTATCCACTCCCCTGGAAGCATAAAGGCCAAAGCAGGCCCAACCATGCCCCATGCCTTCTTATTACTTATGGCAGCAGACCTGAATCCCCTACTCTGTTGGCTTACTCTTCCTATAGTGCAGTTTAGTCTTCCTTAGCCTTTTATAAAATGTGTAATTTTCTTTTTATACCAGCCAGCAAAGAAAAATATATTTTAATATAAGTCTGTTAAACTAGAACCCACCCCCATGTACAAGGTATTGGCATTATAGCAGATTTAAGACCAAGGTTTAAGACCTGTCCTTCATGAAACATATCAACATCTATTAATGACTGCACTTCCAGTGTCTGCTTTGTCTTGGAGAAGGACATGTCCCAGAGTAGTATTCAGTCTGTTGCTCTTTTCCAGAATACTCACAGTGAAGGAGGCACATCTGGAGCTCTCTCTTCTAGAGAGATCAGAACTGGCCACCTCAGAAACCGAGAGGAAGGCTATGAAAGGCCTCCACCATTGGGTTAGTCTCTCGGTGCATCAGTGAGCTGTTGTTCTGTCCTGAGCTCCAGGGAGACATCCACTCAAAGGCTGCATTCGTTCTCCACTATGTTATATCAACAGAAAGGAGCACCACCTCAAGGATGAGCCCAGGTGCAGGACACCATCCCTTGTACCTGACAGAGGCAGAAGGGTGGTCAGACTTGATTTGCCTCAGGCTCATTCATCCAAGGGTCCTAAAAGCCCCAGTGAGGGCTCAGCTTAGGGTTTGGGATCCACCTGAGTGTTTTTTCTTGTCGGATCAAGGCTATAGTTTG